CTGTTTTATATAATGTTATAATAGAATGGATAGAAAATAGGTACTATCTGTATTTTCTAACAATTACTGTTTTACCTTGGTAACGTAGAATCATACATACAGAAGCCATACAATACTAGTAAATCAAATATTTCACATTAATATGATAAAATAAAGAAAATAAAAATATTTTATCAGGGTTTTAAAATTCCACACTATATAAAATACTCAGTACTTATCTCCCTTTCCCCATTTTTTGTGTATTTTTCTGCTAAAAACATTCTTAAGAATACGTTTTCAATTATTAAGAATTTTGGGACACTGCTTCATCTTTACAATTATACAATTCATGTAACAGATACAGTCCACAAAAATAATACTATAAAGTAATTCAACCAGAGGGATGCCTCTGAAAAGTCTCCATGGGAAATAAAACTGCCCCAAAGAAAGACAAATAAAAGAAATAAAAGAAAATGACTTTATGTGGGCCTGCTGAAAAGGATAGGAGTATCATTTTCATAGTGGAATAATGTTTTCTGGGCGAGCACAAAAGCAGATGTTCCTCATTAGGAACACCCATTGTCTACATATCACAACTATGAAGAGATAAATCTATCCTATTTCACTCATACATTCCACTGCCTATAAATGATTACAGGATACTGCTGTAACTGCTAAACCAAAACCACACTGTGTGCTAAAATAATTCTTTTCTGCCACCATAATATTTTACGTGAAGTTATGGAAATTCCTGGTAAAAGACATCTTTTTGACTTTTCCTTTTCTTGTTTGGCTAGAATCTATATCAGATCACAGTATTCAACTGTTGAACACTGCAGCAGCTGATTAGGAAGGAATAGAGAAGGACAGGGTTTCCAAACTACAATCCCATTAAGAAGCAACTTGTTAGTAAAACAATGGCAGATCTGCCTGTGCGCACGGAATGAACTTGAAAAGTGTTGCCGAGAGCATGCCTGGCATCATTTTTCCAGATGGTATTATCACAGTTGTACTGCTAGTTGGCATTTCTGTGGGTAGTAAATACTTTCCCTCCTCTATAAATCTGGCATTATTCTATAGAGTTAAGAAGACTTATAATTCCAAGTGTGTTCTACTTTTCTGTAAAAAAGCCAGACATCTGTTTATCCCATTTTCTTCCATACAGAGTTTGGAATAGATTTAGGCTTTTTTTTTTTTTTGGTGGGGGTACAGAAGTTTTGTCATATTTAACAGCTGTTTCAAACTTTCAGCTCTGTGGGCTCTTAAAATATTTTTCAGATGACCTCAGATTTTATTCATAATTGACATTTTTTATGGGGGCAGGGAAACCACACGCTTCTCTGTTGTTTAACCTTTCATTGTCTTTGTCTAGCTTCTTGTTTTCGCGTTATGTTTCATTGAGAGGCAAAAATTTTATGACCTCTACATTATTATTTTTTTTAAGAACGGTGGCAGGATGACCAAACTAGGTTAGGAAGAAATAGCTTTATTTCACTTGTCGCTAAAGTTTGTGCCTTTAAAGTAATTGCAGAATGGTAGCTGAAGACTGATTGGAAGAGGTCCTTTTATTTTTTTTATTTTTTTTATTTTTAGTCAACAGTGTTTCCTTTCACTTCCTGTCACAAAGGTCAAAGAAAGCTGACCTTTGCTGGCAGTCCTACTCACTGAATTATTCATGTGATTGACTTTTTGTCAGTGCACACAGTTGTGCTCTGGGACATTTTATTCATTTACCTCATTTAAAGAGCCTTTCTGCACCTGTTCAAGTATTAATATCATGTAATTTGGGCCTAATGCCGATTTTGCTGAACACTCATTATATTTTTTATTAGCTATATTTCCAAACGATTATGTATGATTATTACCAAGCCTTACAAACAGCAATGGGTTATTCCCTAGACCTTTACATCTTCTTGTCAGGTTGTTTTCAGAAGCAAGGAGGATAAACATTTGACCAGTCCCAATGTTTTTATTCCTACTCCATATCCAACCAGAGAACTTAAAGCTTTTCCCTCATGGCTTTGTGAAAGCATGATTAAATCCAACTCTGCAGAAGCTGTACAAATGCCAGCATTTATAAGGTCAAGGCTTTTGTTAAAAAATGCTATGTAAATGAGGATCTGCAAAAAGGGACATTAAATAAAATTAAATTCATTGTCTTCTTTAATGTCATTTACTTTTTGGCTAAGCCCAGGCCTGTCAAAGAGGATTTTAAAAATAATTTTAATTACGCATCATTTAGGGATCCAAGGTTGTCTATTCAGTAGCATTTGGATAACCTGCAAAACGGTGACTGTTTATTAACTTCTTAAATGACAAGTTGTCATTTAATTTGCATAATGCAATGAAAACAGTACAATTTATTGTAAAATGTTCATTCTTAGGCTTCTTTAAGGAGCGTAAGTAATTACCACAGAAGAGATTTAGGAGTTATTCTCCCCCCTCCTTAACTATGATTTTTAGCTCCAAAGAAATTCTTAAAGAAGAAATATTTCTAGATGAAACACACTTTATTTTCTTA